CACACACACATATATATATATATATATATATGTATGTATGTATATATTAAAATTTAACTAAAAGTAATTGATATACAAATTTCTAAATTAATAAGCCTTTCTTTATTTCTACAAATACAAAAATATAATAATTTTGGATGGACAAGTAAATTATGAATAAATCAAATAATGAAAACTTTAAAATTAAAGAATTATATGACGGTCATAAAAATCAAGTTTTTTTTATCTAATAGTTATAAGGTTTGTCCTCGAATATGAGAGATCGACCTAATTATTTTAAATTTGATTTCTCTATAGTAGAAATCACATGAATCATGTCTATGAAAAAAAAAGAGCCATAAAAATAGCTGTATATTATTTATTTTTAATTTTTAAATGTATATTCTCATATAATTAAATATTTTGTTATAAAATCAATAAAATACTTAAAATATATATTTTCAAATAATGAAACTAAATGCATACATTCCAAAAAAATTTATTTGATTTTTAATTAAATTTAATTTCAATTTTCCAATTAATGTATCGCATCAAATATTGAAGAGATATAAATATATGCTTCGGCGTTCCCTTTTAAAAATCACGTGATCATAGTTGTAAAGTAATTAATTCTTAAATTACATATAATTCATTATCTAATTACTTATCTTCATATATAATTGACATATATATTAATTTAAAGAATTTATTTTTAATAATCGAGTAATGCTACTTCACAGATAAATAATCCAACATAACGTATTTGATTCAGTTTCTCAATATCTTCGCTAGGAGCTTATCCTGTTTGAACATAATTATTTAAAGGAGAATTTTTTTTTACTCCATGATCTTGACTCTTGAGCCGAACAAGGTTATAAATAAACAAGAAAATATATTTTTGTTTGATTGACAGAATTTTAATAACATAGGACGTAATGTTAAATTAAACAACAAAAGATATAGAAGTGAAAATCGAAAGAATTTTCTTTAAACAAGGAAAGAAAACCAATCTAAACAAGCCCTAAAAGATTTAAAACATTCGACATCAGTGATCAGTGTAGCTGACAATTAATAAATAAAGGGAATTCTAATGAATATTCATCTAAAAAGTGATTACTTGATATTATACAATGAGTCTAACTCTTGGACCTCAAATCTTGAGAGTCAAATCAAGCTCCTCCACGACACCATTGGCAGGACTAGAATTCTCACCATCACTTAAAGTCTTGGGATTCAAATCATCTGCCATCGTTATGGTTGCATTCCGAGTACTTGTTGAAGATTTGTTTGCTAGGTCAAAATTCCGCTTAACACATAAACTAAGATTTAGTGATAACTGTGATTGTGACTCAGAATTTTGTGCTCCTCCTCTAGATAAAGGAAAAGTAAAAGGTTGACATGATTTGTGGTGTTGATGAAATCCATTCCCTTCAGCCATCAAATCTTGGAAGAAATCAATGGTGGGATGAACACTATTCAAAGTCTGGTGCCCTGACCATGAAACCTGATGATGATGATCATGTTTGAGTCCAATATGATGCCAGTTATAATATTGGGGCTTAAAACGTGTCATGGATAATGGTGAAACCCCTAATGTTTTGGCACCAAACCCACCAAGAAAATAATTTTTGTGATAAGAAGCAATGCTAAGAATCTTCTCTTTTTTTGATGGTGTCCCCTTGCTTGATGTTGTAGCATGAGCTTTCCCATGATTGATTTTTGCTTCACTGCTATTTTCCATTCTATCTTTGTTGTCAAGATTTCTTCAAAACTTGGACGGTTAGTAGCTTTTGGTGGTGTACGAGGCTATTCAAAGTGACTTATATAATAGGTTTCTCCGAAAGTTAATGAATATTGTTGTTTGAAATTAGAATTTAGAAATAATCTTTGTTTATGAATTTTGTAAACTTTCCTTGTCTAATTATCAAGGATGTAATTGTGATGTAATTTATACTGATATTATATGTGTCTACTAATTATTGCGTCATATTATTAATTATATCCGGTGTCATTGCACAACTTTTGATTGATCGCATGAAATAATATTACAAAAGTTTATGATTATGCTAGACTTTTGGATCCAATTTCAATAGAATATTTTGTTAAATTCTTTTTTTTCTGTGGTAATTATTGATATCCAATATACTCGATATTATTTGATTTTAAAATATAAATATCTTAAATGATAAAATTTACTTCTGATATGAACAAAAATAACTAACTCTTATAAATCTTGCAATTTTAGGGACTTTCTTTTGATAAAATTTTGTATTTTTTTATTATTATTTTTATCTAATTTGATTTTTATTTATTATAATTATTTATTAATTAAATACTAGTATTTAAAATAAGTTATCAAAAAATAAAAATAATTTTATGCTATAATATAAATTATTTATCATAAAATTAAAATATAAATTAT